ATTGAACCTCCTATAACCAAAAACCTAGATCATAAGACCACTTAGAAACAAGACACTAAAGAAGATAATATGGCACTGCTTACTAGAGGGTTCATATGAGCATCATAAAAGGTGGATTTCCGAAAAACGATAGCTCATCAAATCATAAAGTCATAGAGAAAAATAATTCTGATTGATGGTACAAGTGTGGGAAGAAATATCACTTCACTAAGGATCGTCCATTGTGGGAAACTAAGTGGAAAAGAACAATCCTAAGAAAGTTAAACAACAGAAAAGAGATCGGGTTCCTGGACGCAAAATGACAAATAAGATTATGGACAAATTTGTGTAAAGGGTTATGGTTACAATGCAATCATCTTTACTGATGAGTTTGATGATGATGATGATAAAAGTGACGAAGATGATCAGTCACTAATGGCCAAGGAAGACAATGATTTAGAACCTAAAAATATTCTGGCATTAATGGCAAATTCAAACTCTAATGGTGACGAGAAGAACCCAAGGTAAGCATTCAGGACATTAAAGACAAAATCATAGTTACTCTAAAAAGAAATTAATTTCCTTATCTGGTGTCTTAGTTGATGCATGTTAAAAGGTTTCTGTTGAAAAGGAATAATTACTGAATGACTATGCATCACTTAGTTTGAGAATAAAGATCTAAAGTAACTAAACAGAACATTGAAATCTTCATTACTAATCTTAATGAGCAGTTCTTACATTAGAAGATGAAAAGACAATCTTAGAAATTGAGAACAAGAAATTGCTCGATGCTCCCATCCAAGATAAAAATATAGCCACAAATATTCAGGAGAAATTCGAGAATGAATCAAAGAGAGTTAACACTAATCTCCCCGTTGAATCTGAAAAGGCTAGGGTGCTTCAAGAGAATTTAGATAAGGCTAGAAAGAAACTTAAAATGGTCCAGGTTTTCACATCTCATGTTTAAGCATCATGAAAACCATAATAGCAACAAAAAGGGCTTAGGACTCACTAAGGCTAAAAATCCCCTATAATCCACATAGCAAGCATATTGACATCCCTTACAATCGCCTATGCACTCACTATGGTAATAATAGATACTTCAAGAAAACATGCACAACTAGGATTAAAGCAAATCTGAAGAATGTCACATATGTTGAGAAAAGGAACATTAGTAAACCTTGTTCTTTACCGAAAAATAGAAGATTACCAGGATGGACTAAAGGAATGTGATTCATCCTTTAACTCAAAGAAAGGGACCCAAGCTTGTCTGGGATTTCTAAAGCTGACGTCTAAATGTTTTAGCAGGCTAAGGTGAGAGGAAGCAAGAACTCATGATATATGGATACTGCTTGTTCCTGCTACATGACTAGAAATAAAGATAATCTCCTCTCACTGAAAGCCCACCAAGGAGAGAGCGTGGCTTTTGAATATGGCAAGAAAGATAATATAATCAACATACTTAAGGTTAGTAAGTACCACTCATATACAATTGAAAATGTGTATATGTTAAGGGTTTCAAACACATTCTGTTGAGCGTATCTTAAATGTGTGATTTAGGGAACCATATGTTGTTTACTTCTGAAAACTACATGGTTACAAATGAGAAGGCTGGAAACTTAGTTCTTAAAGGAAAAAGCACAAAAATATTTATTAAGCTAATATTATATCTTCACCTGAAAATAAATTATCATGTCTTAGTGCACTTGATATTGGTTCCCTCCTATGGCATAAGATGCTAGGACATGTTAGTTTTTCTACGTTGAACAAGTTAATCACCAAGGACATGGTTCTTGGCTTCCCAAAATTAAAATTCAAGGAACATAAAATTTGTGACGCTTGTATTAAAGCTAAACATGTCATATCATCCTTCAGATCAAAGAAAGAGGCTAGTACCTCTCGACTTTTAGAACTATTGCACATGGACTTATGTTGACCTATGAGAGTTTCGAGTAGATGAGGAAAAAGATATGTATTTGTAATTATTGATGACCACTCTTGGTCCATATGGACCATATTTCTTTCAACTAAAGATAAAATATATGATATGTGTGTGACCTTTGTTAAGAAATTACAAAAACAAATGGATAGCCATGTAGCTAGCATTAGATCTGTACATGGAAGCGAATTTGAAAATGTAAACTTTCTAGAGTTCTGTGTAAGCAATGTCATTGATCATAATTTCTCTGCACCTAATACCCTGTAACAAAATGGTATCGTTGAAAGAAAGAATAGGACTTCAGAAGATATGGCAAGAACTATGTTGATTGCTAGTGGCCTACCTAACTCTTTCTACAGTAAAGTTGTGAATACTGCATATTATATTAATAATAGGTACATGATTAGGCTAATAATTGATAAGACTCTCTATGAATTACTTATGGGCAGAAGATCCAATATAACTTACCTTAGTGCTTTTGGTCGCAAGTGTTTTGTACATAATAACAATAAGGAGGTTTTAGAAAATTTTGATGCTAAAAGTGATGATGGTTTCTTTCTAGGTTACTCTCCATATAGTAAAGCTTAAAAAGCATATACTAAAAGAACCGTGTGTGTTGAAGAAAGTATACATGTGATTTTTTATGAATATAACTACTTGATAGAGAAAGGTACACATGTTGCTGAGGAGAATTTGGATAAGCACGTAACTATGAAGAAAAATCAAACCAAGAACTTTCAGATGCTGTTACAGAATAGGCACAAGAACCAAGTCCTTTGGAAGCTGAACATGATGTACAACATGCAAGTGAAACAAATCAAAAAAATTATGCAGATATAAATGCTCTAGGTTCCACCGCCAAACATGAAAAAAATAATGGCACTCATAGCATCGAAGTTCCAATCCACTCACTAATATTCTAACACTTGTTGGCTTTGGAATGGTGACAAGATCAAAGTTTAGAAACATGATTGCTTTCATAGTCTATATATCCATGGTTAAGCCAAAGAACATCTAAGAAGCAATTGAAGATGCAGCTTTGATAGTGGCTATGCAGGAGGAACTCAATCAACTCGAAAGGAATAAGGTATGATACTTGGTTCTTAGGCCAGAAGACAGGGAAGTTATTGGAACTAGGTAGGTGTTCAGAAATAAAGTTGATGGACAAGGAATATTACTAGAAACAATGTAAGGTTGGTTGTACAGATCTGCAATCAAGAAGAAGGCATCAATTATGATGAAACATGCTCTAGTTGCTAGAATAGAAGCCATTCAAGTGCTCATTGCTTTTCTCCTACATGGTTTTTAAGATGTATCGAATGGATGTGAAGAGTTATTTTCTATATAGGTACTTGAAAGAGGAAGTGTGTCCTTGCCAACCTCAAGGATTTGATCATGAGTTTTCAGATCATGAGTACAAATTAGACAAAGCATTGTATGGGCTGAAGTAAGCTCCAAGAGCATGATATGAAAAACTGTCAAAATTTCTCTTGGAAAACAAATTTTCATGCGGTAAAATTGATAACACTTTATTCTTGTTAAAGAGTGGCAAGAATGTGTTGATTATTCAAATATATATTGATGATATCATCTTTGGAGCCACAAATAAATCCTTATGCAATGAGTTTGCCAAACTTATGGGGAATGAATTCGAAAGGAGCATGATGAGACAATTGAATTTCTCCTTGGACTTCAAGTTAAGCAGACTACAAAAGGAAAAATGATACATTAATAGAAGTACATCAAAGAGCTGTTCAAGAGGTTTGATATGGACAATGCAAAGACAATCGATACTCCCATTGCTACTGTAACTAAGTTAGATATAGATAAACCTGGTTCCTTTATTGATGAAAAGAAGTATAGGGATATGATTGGGTCTTTGCTTTACCTAACCGCAAATACGCTAGATATTGTGTATAGTATGGGTCTGGGCAAAAATTCTATCCAATCCTAAGGAGTCGTACTTAAAGGTTGTTAAAAGGATCTTGAGATATCTCAAAGGTGCTCAAGACCTGGTTCGTTGGTATCCATATGATGATTCATTTGACTTGATTGGATATGCGGATGCAGATGTGCTGGGTATTTGATCGATAGAAAGAACACATTCGGGGTGACACGCTTCCTTGGTTCATGTCTGATCTCATGGGCTTCAAAGAAATAAAACACAGCAGCTCTACCAACTACAGAAGTTGAGTATGTAGTTGTGACTTCATATTGTGCTCAACTATTGTTAATCAAGTAACAACTGAAAGATTATGGAGTAATGATTGAACAAGTTCCTATATTTTGTAATAATACAAGTGCAATGAACATGGCAAAGAACCTGGTTCATCACAAAAGAACAAAACATATTAATGTGAGGCATCACTTTTTGAGAGATAATGTAGAAAAGGGTCACATCTCTATGAAGTTGTGCAAGACAGGAGAAGATTTCTTATATATTTACCAAAGCTTTAAGGATGGACCCTTTAAAAGAAACTGCTTAGAGCTTGGATTGATCAAAATGAACTAGGACATCATTGACTTTTCTCACTGATTGGCTATGTTTTAATAAATTAATTAGCAAGTCTAAGTGCAGTAAAATGTTTAACTCGGTCTTACACTATAATAGGTATACACGCATGTCATTGATTAAAGAGCATAGACGTTTAATCTTGTGATGAAATACCCTGGATCAGAAAAGGTTTCTGACAGCTACATTGAAAAAATTAGTCAAAGAACCTGATTCTGTGACACTCAGGTATGTACCCCTTTTTCAATAGATAGTTGTGCTTAACTGTTAAGCTGCCACGTGACTAAAACCAGATCCTACTCAATTGATTATATCATATGGTAATAAATCTCTTCGACTCATAAAATTAATAGGGGATCAGGTTCTAAAAGTAAAGCCGGCATTCCCAGAGTAATCGTGACTAGTATCAGTCCACGTGAAATCAGGAACGAGAGGGTTTTAATATAAAGAGCAATATAGTTCAGAGGGTATTTGGGGATAACGAATAGTTTAAGTAGAAAACTGACAAAAACGTAATAGTTTAAGGAGGTTTTAGGGTATTAACTTTTCTAATTTTTGTTCCTCTAGCTCTTGACAAGTGAAAATCCTTTTTGCTTTCCTTGATACAACCCAATACAAAATTCCACTTGCTCTTTCAATAATAAAAAATTCTTGTAGATGCGGTTATAGGAAAAATGAAATCAACAATAAGAAAATAAAACGAAAAGATCAGAATAAAAATGACACACCTATGCCTAAGCAGTAAAACAAGCTTCTTTTGGTCCCTGAAAATGAGAGATCAATTCTGAGATCCAAGTGATCTTATCCTGTCAGATCCCCTCATAAAGGAAATTTTCATGGCGGATCCAACAACACATGAATATGCCAAAGTGCCTCTCCTCTGCCATCAGTCATAAGTCTATTTGTTCCTGCACGGTAAGACAAACCAATTATATCAATACCCTAATTAATTATTTGGCGCTTATGGATGATTAATCTGAATTTTTTTAAAGTTAATTAGTGTTTCCAAAGTTGAAACTCAGATATTTAATTAGAATTAAATAAAATGTACTATGAGTTGTAATTTTTGGTACTCCCTCCGTTCCAATTTATGTGAATTTGTTTAACTGCACACGTAGTTTAAGAAAAATGAAGACTTTTGAAATTTGTGATCCTAAACAAGTCAAAAGGCCTAGAGTATTTGTGTGGTTATAAAAGTTTATCATTAATGGTAGAATTGTAAGTTTAAGCGAAATTGTTTCCAAATATAGAAAGGGGTCATTTTTTTGGAACAGACCAAAAAGGAAAAAGGGTTTACATAAACTAGAATGGAGTATATCAAAGTTATCAAGAAGTAGTACTTTTTAAAATATATATCAGTTAGAATTCATTGTGAGCTAAATCTTGAAAAGCTAAAATTGGCAAACATTTGATACAAAGAAAATATTTTTTACTTTGGTACTGACTAGTGAATGAAAGACCAAATGATCTTCTTTCTTCAGTAACATGACAATTATGTTCCTTTTTATTGTAATTTCTTCTAATCTCTTTGGCTTTTTAATTTTTTATTTACATTTCGCAAACATTAGAAATTCTTTTAATTACAAAAAGAAAATGGAGTACCTAGCTGAAGGATCACAAAGGAGAGATCAATTGACAAGTTGTACTTTCATCTCAATAGCACTGGAATCAGCAACTGGTGGTTGTGACTTTGATTGTGTACCGTTTTCCATCTGCTTGAGGTTCTGTTGGTAATAAATTTGTCTCAACCTCTCTATTTCTCTTTTCAATGCTTCTTGATGAGCTATATATTTTCCGAGAAAATTAAACAATATTAGTGAAGACTAAGTAACCCTCAAATGTAGCTTACTATGGAACTTTCATAAATTTAGTGATCCATTTAGTTTTGTTCACAATCAATTAGGATAACTTCACTTCTGATCCCACAACTACTGACAAATTATATTTTTGGTTCTAGTAATATTTGCCTTATAAGCAATTAATTTTATAATTTACAAAATTGTATAGATTTAGTCTCTTTACATGTTATATCATCATGACCCGTTGGTTGATCATCGACGCAGCGAGGAAAAAAGAAAAATTAACGTACCTAGATACTAAATATGTCTCAATTTATGCAGCATCGTTTGGATTTAAAAAGTCAAGCTTTTTTTAATTTTGACCGTGAATTCAAATATGAAATCTTTAAATTGTGTTGAAATACATTTTGAAAACTACGTAAAAGATACTAAGTCACTAATTGACAATTCGAAAAATCATGATCATGGAAAAGCTTAATTGACTCTTAAATTCAAATAATGTCACATAAATTAGGATGGGCCGTACAAATTAAAAAAAGAAAATTTACCATCTTTAAACAATTTATCTTGGGAAAGAGCTGCGATTCTTTGCCTGAGGGCACTATTGTCAACGTTTAGAACCAAACGTTGATGGTCCAGAAATGCAACTCTTGGTGACAATACCGAAACTTCAGCCTTCAAAAAAACAGAATAAAAAAAAGGGGTCAATTAAAAAATATTCTAAATGAAATCTCCAAAGAAATTAAACTACTTGAATTACTGTTAGTAGAAAAGTAAAATTCTCTGAATTATTTTACATACTTGAAGTGTGCTAACACTACGTTCCAGCTCCGACACATACTGCAGTTTCCTCACCCGTGATCTTTGTGCCGATTGTCTGTTTGCCAATATCCTGACATATTCAATTAATTAAAGATTTATCTTACAATTGAAAAATTAAATGTTGAAAATAATTTGGCTTGCGCTTTAAAAAGTTATTTGCTTTATTTTCATATTATTACTTTTAATAATTGGGTAATTATGTTTAGTTACCTTTAGATGATCCCATAGCGTAAACAATTTCTAACCTTAGTACTATTAAAAAGAGACCTTGTCAAATATATATACCACTATTCATGATAATATATACTATAATATACTCCATTAATTCCACATGCAGAAAGACAGATATAGAAACAAATATAACATTTCAGTTTAATCATAAACGAGTATATCTGTACTTTATATGCTTAAAATACGTATCATAACAATCAATACTCCAAAATAAATAATTCATTGTTTTTAATTTACGTGACACACTGTAATTTTTAATTCATTACAAAATGAATGATACTTTTAAATATGACAATAATTAACTTTAAACTTTCGGTTCACCCCTTAATAAAAATGTATAATTATATTTGAAGTCACAAGTTTCAAAAATTTTACAATCACAAAGATGTTCTTACATATTTTGAACTATAAATTTCAAAAATCTTGAATTCTTTCTTAAAATTTGTGCCGACTCAAATTATGTCACAATAAATTAAAAGAGAAGGAGTAACATAATACTGTCTCTAAGCAACAAATGAGAATTACCTTAATGAGAAAATGTCAAAGCATGTTGCAGGAATAACTATATGCATATATGTGTCAAAAATAAATATACCTTTTAATTCTCTTAGGATCAACAACTTTTTCACAAGAATATTCAATACTTGCATGAGTAGCTGCTGGTTCCTCATTAGTCTTGCATGAGCTTTGGACTTCCTCATTAAGCTGCTGCATTTGACCATCACGGTCGCCGCCGGCTACATTCATCCTTTTATTATCTTCATTAACGTTGATGTAATCAGACGGCGACGACGGGTTCGAACACGACATATTGTCATGTTCCTCATTAAACATGGACATGATCTGCTGCTCATCATCAAACCTCTCAAATTCCTCATTACGAGTAGTGGTCCTACCCGAACCCGGAGTTGATGATAGCCTTCTGCATTCCTCCACCATGGGAGTTTCCAAGAATGCGATGGAGTCGCTCATCGATCTCCGGTGGGACCCGCGTTTCGACGAGAAGTCGAGGAATTCGTCCGCCCATAAAGGGTTATTGTGAGCAGCAGTTGCATTGGGAGATAAGTTGTCCAATTTTTGAAGTGAAAAATCAGGCCAATTTGGTGTCATGTTAGGCACTCTTGGAGGTAAGTGTGCCATTTTTCCTTTCTAACTAGCTTGAAAAATGGGAGTTTTAAGAATGTAGCTAGAAAACCAAACTAGAAAAGAACATATACAGAGACATTAATTCATGATAATATGATATAGACATTGTCATGAGACCATATGTATAGCTTTGATTTGTCTCATTAAGGAGCAAATNGAATAAGGGGATGGTGGGGTCACATGGGGGAGACTAAGACAGCTATAGAACAGCTGGTAGGAAGTTTGAGTCTCAACTGTATTACTGGAAAGTAGGAGTAGTTTAATATATAGGGGACTTGCACCACATGTGCCCTTGTGCTCATCACTCATCTCATAAAGCCTCTGGCTTCTTTTTCCTTATTATTTTTTTTTAATTTCAAAAAAACTCGTAGTACTGTTTTGTAATGGCCTAATACTAAATTAGATTTCGTGGATGGTCATGGAATTAACAGGTCAAATCNATTTTGATTTTTTTTTTTTTTTTTTTTTAAATTTCAAAAAAGCTAGTATAGTATTGTTTTGTAATGGCCTAACACTAAATCGGATTTCGTGGATGGTTATTGAATTAAGAGGTCAAATCATAAGTCTAAACTTTTCTGCGATAAACTATCGTTATTACTCTATATTTTGCATAAAAATGAAAATTCGCTGGAAGTTCATTAACCCAATGCTAGAAATGACGACTTAGCGGTAAGATAAGATAAAATTGTAAAATAAGCACCCGCGGGGATCAAAACACCATATAATACTATAATGATCCGACCGGTTATTTTGTATTATTGCGCCCCGTTTTCCCTTTTGATGCTTCACACATATGTAATTTTGGCCTTATGACTTACGGGGTTGATTGGTTCGTTCCGGGAAGATTTCGGGTTGATTTAGACCATTTGGTTCTTGGCTTGGAAGCCTAAGTTAGAACTATTAATCAAACTTTGACTTTTGTGAAAATAACCTTGAATAGTGTTTTGATGGCTCTAATAGCTTCGTATCGTGGTTTTTGACTTGGGCGTATGCCCGGAATCGAATTCGGAGGTACGTAGGTTGATTTGTGTTGTTTTTTCCGAAAATTAGCAATTTAAGGTCTAGTAGTTTGACCGTATGTTGACTTTTGACTATCGGGTTCGAAATTTGATTTTAGGACTTGGAATATATTCGTTATGCTATTTAGAAGTTTTCTGCAAAATTTGATATCATCTGTTAATTTGATAGGATTCGGACGCTTGGTTGCAACTCTAGAAGTTCTTGAACTTTTCTTTTGAATTCATGCATTTTGATGTCCGATTTGTAGTTCTAAATGTTATTTTTGTGTTTTGATTATGCGAGCGAGTTCGTATGATATTTTTAGACTTGTGTGAGTGTTTGGTTTGGATTCCTGAGGGCTCGAACGAGTTTCGGACGTGATTCGGAATCATTTGGACTAAACTGTAATTGTTGGTGTGCTGGTGCTCTGATGTTGCAATTGCGAGCACCAGCCTTGCAATTGCAAAGTCGAAGGGGGTGATATGATGTCACAATTGCGACTACCCTTTCACATTTGAGAAGTCAGCAGTCCTGGTTTGGGGTAGCATTTGCGACCACTTGGTCGCTTTTGCAATGGGAGTCAGCTTCGCAATTGTGAAGCCTTTGTGGACAATACGACTTCTGTGAAAGTTGTCAGGGTTCGCAATTGCGATCCCTGATTCACAATTGCGAGGGTTCACAAATGGAAAACAATGTCGCAAATGCGACATCTGCAACTCAACATAAGGGTTGGAAAGTCGGGATTTAGTCTCATTTGTCATATCATAAAACCCTAGACTGGGTAGGAGGCGATTTCGAGAGGGGATTTTTATCTACAAACATTGGGTAAGTGATTTTAATCAATTTTCAATCATATGTCATGATTATATCTTAGATTTAACATCAAATTTATGATAGTCAAAGAGGAAAAATTAGGAAATTTTGTCAAATTTTTGAAAAATACAGAATTTTGTTTTGAGAGTTGATTTGGACTCGGATTTGAAAATAAAACATGCATATGGACTCGTGGAGTTATGGGTAGTTGGAATCTACCCTTGGACCCAAATTTTGATCGAGCGGGTCCGGAGTTGATTTTTGTTAACTTTTTGATAATTTTGTAAAGATCAAAGTTTTATCTATTGTAAATTTTTCCTCTTGCATTGTTTGATGATATTAAGTCACTTTTGGTTAGATTTGAGCCTGTGATGACCCGATAAGTTATTTTGAGATTTTGCCTCTATTTTCATGCTTCGAGACCTTGATTAGCTCCGTTTAGCATTCCTCAATTTGCGTGCGCAACTAGTGTCTCATTCCGGGAAGTCCTTATGTGAAAAATTAAAGAAAATATGAATTTTGCCTTATAAATGACTTGAGTTGATCACAGTTAATATTTTATGTGAATAGACTCGTATTAGTATTTTGACGATTCTAGTGGGTCCGTATCGTAATTTGGGACTTGGGCATATGCCCGAAATTTAATTCAAAAGTACCTAACTTGTTTTGACTCATTTTGCCAAAAACTAGCATTTTTGAAAGTTAAAAATTTCTAAGTTTGACCGTAAGTTGACTTCTTAGCTAACAGGTTCGGATATTGATGTTAAAACTTAGAATAGTTCCGTATTGTTATTGAAACTTGTTTGCAAAATTTGGTTCAATTCGAAATTCATTTGACATGATTCAGACGCTTAAACGTGATTCTAGTATTCTTTAGTTTCACTTTGAAAGTTCATTCGTTTTGAGGTTTGATTCGTAGATTTAGATGTTATTTTGGTGATTTAATTGCGCAAGCAAGTTTTTATGATGTTATTATACTTATGTGCATATTTGATTTGGAGCTCGAAGGGTTCAGATGAGTTTCAGATAGGCTACAGATTGATTTTGGACTTTGGAGATAGCTGATGCCTTCGCTGTTGTTGGTGTGATATGCAGATCTCGCATTTGTGGGGTCTGGCTCGCAATTAAGAGCCTCGCTTTTACGAGCATGGGCTGGTTTTGGTGGTTTTGCATTTGCGAGTAATATGTTCGTATTTACAAACTAGACAGTGATCGCAATAATGATCAAAAAGTTACATTTACAACTCAGCAGTCCTCGAGCAGTCTTCGCATTTGAGAAGAAATGGTGTGAAATTGTGAAGGTTGGGAGTTCGCAATTGCGAATCAAATGTCGCATTTGCGACCTTTGTGAGTCTGAGACAGTGTTCGCTTTTGCGACCCCTTTCTCACATTTACGATGTTCGCAATTGCGAACAAGTCATCGTAATTACGACATCCGTAGTTGGGTAAAAAAGGGAGAAAATGGGACTTAGCTTATTTAACACAATCTCTCAACCCTAAACGTCCTAGAGATGATTTTTCAAGAGACTTTTCTTCCTAAATTCATTAGTAAGTGACTTTAATCCATTATTTTTTAGTTACTCATTACATTTACTGAGATTTCAACATCAAATTTAGGATTTTCATAGTAGAAATTAGGGATTTGGGTAGAATATGAGATTTTTGTAAAATTGAGATTTAAACCTTAAATTGAGGCCAAATTTTGAAACAAACCACATTCGGGGGTGAATGGAAAATCGGATTTTGGTCCGAATCTCGATTTTGACCAAGCGGGCCCTAGGTTGACTTTTTCAAAAATGATCTAAATTGAACTTATTTTATTTGTGGGTAGTTTCTAAAGCTTATTTTGAATCATTTGGTCAATAATTTACTAGATTTGGTTGGTTTGGAGGGTTGTTCAAAAGGCAAGGCCGTGGTGGATTGATTGCTTAAGTTGTAGAGTGAGGTAAGTATTGGGTCTAACATTGATTTGGGGGGATCATAGACCCTTTAACTTCATGTTATGTGCATTATGGGTGAAACGACGTATATGCGAGGTGACAAGTGTATATGCATTGTTGTGTTGCTTGCTTCCATGCTTTCGTTACCTTACTGTATATCTTGTTACATACCTAATTATTGCATGCTTATTTGACTTCCATTCCATAGTTGCTACTTGTCATTTAGCTATGCTTGTATTAAACTCTCCATTCTTTCCATAATTCCATGTATATTTGGTACTTGTCTCTATTTGCTCTTCTTATATTTCTAAATTGTCTTAGCTCTTGCTTGTCTTATAGTTTTGTAACACTTGTTGCCTTCAATAATGTAGTTTCATTTGTATGAGTTGTTAATTTGTAGATACCGTTGAGTTGGTAAACTTGAGATATTCGAGATGTTAGAGGTTTTTTGAGTATCATGTTATCCTTCATTGCTCCGTACATTTACTCTCTTGATGTAGAACTTCTTGTAATCTTTGTTGTTGAATTGCTATTGTTGATTGAAATTGTTTGGGAAGCGGGTTGCACACCGCAACAGAAATTTGAAAGGTAATGAACTGAAATAGAGGAATAAGAACGAATTATGAAATTGACAGACAATGATATGGTGGGATCAGGTTGCACCCGCAATGGACTATGTAAAATTATATTTGTTTCTGACTGTTTAATTTGCCTCGGTATTTGAGATGAGTTTATATGCCTTGTTATTCTAGGCTCTCTGGTAGGTAGATTTTGAATTCATTAATATGAATTAACTGCTTTATTTCCATTCCTGTCTTTTCTTCTATTATTATTATGTACAGGTTATTGTCAATGACCCGCCTTAGCCTCGTCGCTACTTCGTTGAGGTTAGGCTCGACACTTACAGAGTACGGTCGGTTGTGCTCATACTACACTCTGTACTTCTTGTGTAGATACCGGAGTTGGTCCTAGCGGCGTTCAATAAACTTGCTCGGATCCAGCTGTCAGTGGAAACTTGAGGTATAGTTGCATGGCGTCCGCATTTCTGAAGTCCTCTTTTATTTTATTTTAGCCATTTATTTTGATTCAAACAGTTATGTTTATTTCAGACCATTACATGTAGTATTGTAGACAATCATGTACTCGTGACACCAGTTTGGGGATTTTTATTTGGATTTCGTCACTTATTAGCTTATTACCTTATTTCAGACTATTCAATTTCATTATTGTCATTCAATTTGGAAGTTTTTAAAAATAGTTAATAGATATAGCTAACGTTGGCTTGCCTAACAAGTGATACATTAGGCGCTATCATGGTTCCGAGGGTGGGAATTTCGGGTCGTGAAAAGTTAGTATCATAGCACTAGGTTGCCTAGGTCTCACAAGACATGAGCAAGC